TAGTGCCTGTTTCAACACAGTCACAGTACAGAACGGCCAGCTTCCTCAAGCCATCCTCCGCTGGCAATGCCAACGCCGGCGGTGGTCTCTTGTCACGTGATGCCCGCACACCGTCCTCCAGCAGCAGCTCCAGTGGCAGCACGTTCAGGCGCCGTCAGCCAATCAAGAGGGCATGGATAGTACGTGCAGTAGTGCTGCTATGTGTGTGATGTGTGATGTGTGGTGCAGCACTTTGTACAGTACAGTGATGCTATGTGTGTGATGTGTTGTGTGTGGTGCAGCACTTTGTACAGTAATGATGCCTGAAACCCAGCGCTTTAGAAGTTATAGAGCTGCGCCTTACGGCTGGTGGGGTACAGGGTGTATTGTACGTTAATGGGGTACTGTAAAAATGATAAACTTCCGCGGCGTCCATGTATGTGTGCAGGACCAGTATCTTGGATTGCGTAGCCCTACTGGTACATGTACTTTTGAAACGCACTGCTACTGCTACTGCTACTGCTACTGCTACTGTAACTGCTACTGCTACTGCTACTGCTACTGCTACTGCTACTGCTACTGCTACTGCTACTGCTACTGCTACTGTAACTGCTACTGTAACTGTAGTTGTCCTGATGCACTTTGTGTAGATGTGGGCTGGCTGGCAGGGGACAAGGAGTGTTCTGCTGCGACTTTGACTCCGCGGTGAAATCACTTCTGCACTGCATGTCGTTTTACTGTTCTTGTGTTTGTGTCCATGTTTCGCTTACCCTCACAGAAACCCACATCAACCTCATCAGAGACGAATGACGCATCCTTGACTTCCACTCGGCGAACGGTGTTTGGTGATGAGGAAGATGACGTTCCGGCTGCGAAGAAGACAATGGTAACACCGGCGCGTATGATCTCCCCACCGCTGAGCTCCGATAATGGTGTGACGCCACCACTGTTGAGCAGCAGTGGAGGGGGTGGCGGTGGTAGTAAATGCCGACGCACCACTGTCCGTGCCTCGACCGGTGGTAGCCAGTTCTCACAAGGAGGACGCAGCACGCTGGAGCCCATAGTTATCGGCGACAGCGACGACAGCTCGGCAGGTTCGCCGCCGCCGCTGGCATGGCGCAATGCTTCTGCTGCCGAGTTGCCACTGCCACTACACATCACTGTCGATAGAGCAGACGATGCACATGACACATCGAGCGCTGAGCACAACACATCGGCAGACAACGTCGCCACATCGCTATCAAGCGACGGACCCAAGGCTAGTCAAGAGCAGCAGCAGCACTCGCCAAGCGTGATCTCTGATGAAGAAGATGCACCGTTGCTGCGCAAGTACTTTGGTGACCGGCATCCCGTTATCCTGGATGCCAAGAAGATTGGGAACGTGGGTCGCTTCATTAACCACTCCTGTGACGCCAACCTGTTTGTGCAGAACATTTTCATGGAGACGCACGACCTGCGCTTTCCCACCGTCGCTTTCTTTGCCATGCGTAACATTGCGGCGGGCACAGAGCTGACCTGGACGTACGGATACGAAGTTGGCTCTGTCAAAGGAAAATACATGCAATGCCTGTGTGGTGCGCCAAACTGCAAAGGTCGCCTTCTTTAGCAGACCATCGTCTGTCTCTGGCCTCCTATACTGGCGGCGCTGCTTTGTGCCATGTTCTCTTGATTTCCTGTGCTGGTTTTTCAATTAATCGTCAAACTGGAAATTCTACACCGAGTAAGTATTGTTCTTTGCACTGTGGCCTGTGTGGGTGGGTTTAGTAGCTGCATGCAGTTTACCAACATGCTTTCACTGCTCCCGCTTGTTGTCGTTCCTTGGTTTTATGTTGGCTATCCCGCAGAAATTCCGATGATTTTGCGGGCTCTGGTACGATGAGTGTGTCCGCCTCTTTTTTTCTTTTCTTTTTTTTTGTCTTGAGCTGATTCCCTTGAAAGTATCGAACAAATCCGCCCCCTCCTCGTCCTCCTCTTCCTCTTCCTACTCCCGTATTATGCTCCCATCTGCCGCCTCTAGTGTGTCCTGTGGCCTGTTTTACTTCGTCGACAGTTTTATTTTCGCTTTATTCCCAGGCTGGCTCTTCAGTCTGTGCTCCGCCGATTCTCTACAAGGTTGATTCTATCACCTACAACTCCGTACATGTATGTATACATCTTCAGTTTTTATCTTGGCATGAGTATAATTATTATAACCCTCATACTCTTGGTCTTGGGCAATCGAAAACAGCAATATGCAAAAATTAATGAAATAAATATTATGTACTCAGATGGAAAGTGAACATATGTTTTGCATTTTTCCTGGGCCGTTGCGTGGTATATTGGTGTAAGAACTGTCACTGGACATGCATGCAGGCAGGAGCTAGCGCACTTCATCTGTATGCGAGCTAGCTATTTCCCGTGTCCATTTGATCTGCAGCACTTGCAGCTGACCTTGCATGATGTAGACTGTCAGTGATTCTGCCACATACACATGTACCTGCAGGCCAGAGAGTCGTAAAATAGTATTTTACGACTCCCTGGC